TGGGTTGATGGCCGGTTGGCCTATGGTCTTCCGGGTGACAATAAACCCGATTTTCTCATCTTGACAGCTGGACAACAAATTTGGATGCCTGACAGCTTCTTTCAGGTAAAATTCAAGTGATTTAGATAGTTTTCTGAACCTTCATGTTTTTACTTTCTAGAACGAAAAACAGGCTCAGAAACATATGATCGACAAGCCAAACGTTTTGATTCGAGTGCATAAAGATGGTCAAATTCTATACTCAGTTAGGATATCACTAGTACTTTCATGTCCAATGCATTTGCAGGTAAGCAACGTTAGATCTCACCTTTTCTATTGCGTTTTCTGTTTTTTTTTTCTCAGAAATCATTCAACCATTTTGGACTTTAATAATTAGTATTTCAGTATTATCCCATGGATGTTCAAACATGTCTGATAGATCTAGCATCTTATGCCTATACTGATACTGATATAGGTAAGTATATCTCATTTTTACAAAAATTCAATATATCTCATTCTTTACAAAAATTCAAGTTAAATTGTCGGCTTGACTTTTATTTTCTTGAATTTGCGAATTCGCTGTCTTTTCCATTTTCACCGCATAGACTTTCGCCCGAAACGAATGAATTCTTTGATGCAAACTCAATTGTGAGTGCTCCAAGAATCTTGTGCGAATAGCGATAAGCTTTTTCGATTCTGTTTTGGTCCAGAAGTTCCTAGACTTTTTTATTTGGATCGATTTCTTGATTTTCTAGGTTTTGGATGCCGATATTCCGATATACTCTTCAAAATTATTTTTTCAGAATATCGATGGAAAGAAAAAGATCCAGTACAACTTAAAGACGGGCTCAACTCCTCGCTACCTAGCTTTCAACTAAATAACGTAAGTTCTTGGTATTCCAACAGATCATCCAGTATCGACGTCTTTTCACAGGTGTCTACCACGTATTGTACTAGCAAAACTAATACGGGTACTTATTCGTGTTTACGGACAGTTTTGGAGCTTAGGAGACAATTCAGGTGTGTCAAACCTTCTTTTCTCCAGATCTACAGACTTACTTTTGTTTTGTTTGTAGTTACTATCTTCTACAACTATATATTCCCTCGTCCATGCTGGTCATAGTGTCGTGGGTATCGTTTTGGCTGGATCGAACAGCTGTACCAGCTAGGGTTACATTAGGAGTTACCACATTACTTACCATGACTACACAGGTGAGAAATCTTAGCTATCAATCGATACTTAGTCAATATAGTGCTTTACAGGCATCCGGTATAAATGCAAAATTGCCTCCGGTATCTTACACAAAAGCCATCGATGTATGGATCGGGGCATGCCTAACGTTTATCTTTGGTGCTTTGCTAGAATTCGCTTGGGTCACCTACATCTCTACTAGATCTTTAAATAAAGGTATATCGATGGCCTACGGCTCAAATTTGAACTTTCCCATATTGGTTTTTTTAGCAGCCCGAGCAGAACCTCGAACAGGTTCTTTAGTGATGACCAATCAACATGCTATCCTGCCTAGAACTACGGTAAGCCTGATAAGAAGTCCTACAACGAAATAGAAAGATTGTATAATTTTTAGCTAGATTTACGAGCACGAAGAACATCAGATGGTATCTGGATGAAACAAGGTCGGTTCGACGAAGCAGCAGAATTGCTAGTGTTGAATCCACGATCTATCAGTCGGTTAGTCGTTCA